TTTTTGGCTCAACTTATTATTTATTTGATTTTAACTTTAAAAAATGGTGGCAGCTCTCTTCAAAAAAAAACATCCAGGTTAATTCCAGCTTTATGGGGCCTATTCATAGTCAAATTTAAATCGACTCTAAAAAGTAGTAGCTGCTTTTTGACATACAGCGTCTTTCACGAAAGCAGTTTAAGTGAAAAAATATTTTTGATAGAAAAGATTATTTTGTACTTGAAAGTGCCGTTGAAATTAGATTGGCGATTAGAGTATTTGTCTTATAATGAAAATGGCATGGTTGAAAAATTTCATAATCCAAAATAATTAGTTTGATAGATATATAAATAGTTTCAAAAACACGATTGCATAGCGTGCCAAAGGGGGAAGCAGGGGAAATTTCAGCACAAAATTTGCTGCAGCTAACTCTCCAATCAAAATTAAATTGCAAAAAAAGGTGGCTTTTAGAAAATCTAAATGCCGTTATTGTCTGAAAATGACACCTCACTCGTGTTGTTGTTTTTTCGTTTCAATTTTCAATTCTCACATCCCTCTACGCTAGCGGTTATTTCTGCATTTTATTGTTTGAAAACTTCTATTGGATTTTAGTAAAAACTATGAGAGCACTACAAAATTTTACTACATTGCAAATGCACAAACTGCTACGCTCGATATATACATATACAAATGTACAAATGTATGGATGCTCCACATGAATATTGCACAATTTCCTGTATCTGCCTATCTGCCAGTCGTACACTCGCAGTCTGAACTACGGATTATACACAGCCCTCCCACCGCATACATATGTATGTACACATGTACACATATAGATGTATGTATGTATGTATCTCCTTGTATGCACTGAATTTGCATTTCAAGCATTGGGTGGCAGGCATAGCGGCGCAATGGCGAGTAAAATGATAGTTGGAAAATTCGTTAACGCCTACACCGACAGCTATTTTTTTAACAGCAATATTCTATGAATTTCATTTTATGCTTTGTACAAACAGAGACTGGTGCAAACGAAAAACAAAAAATAATAATTAAACTGCCTCTAGCGCAGCTTAAAAGTACAGTTAGATGCACAGAATGCATTTAGAGAAGGCGTAAATAAGTAATACAAAAAATATGGTTTTCTGTTTTAGAATTTATTATACTGCGAGGAAATTGCATTCGAAAGTTGTGCAGCTGCAAAATAAATACTAAAAGATGCATGAACACATAGATAGATATATAAATAGTTTCAAAAACACGATTGCATAGCGTGCAAAGTAGCGGTTAGGAGAAATTTCAGTAGCGCAATTTGTGTATGCTACTTTTTTTTAAATAAATATTCGAGTAGCAGCAGCAACAATGGAAGATGGAGAACGACGCTAAGCTGCTTGAAAACTGACGAGTCAAATTCGTAGTTTTGCAATGTACAAAACGTATTTAAAAAAAAAAAAAACATACTAATACACCCACACAAAGCAACACTGCAACACACATACACACCTACTACATTTAACTCCTATAGGTACTCTTATAACAGCCAATTGGCGACTTTGTTAACTACTATTCTGCATACAGCTAGGGCCAGGACTCGACTAGACGAGTTTGCAACAGCAGCTAAAATGAAATTTCATCAACTAAATGCAATTTTTATGCTTCACTCGCTCATACCCATGAAAATGGAGTAGATTGTATGTACATACATATACAGAGGGTACTCATAGTATTCATGCAATGCTTTTTTTTTCTTGCTACTCACAATTAGAATGCAGTAAAAGTCGTGGAGCATGGAGCATAGTATGCAATGAAATTAAAAGCGGTTGAGAGCAGCACAAAAAACACACACACACACACACACACACACACAAAAGCTAAAAGCAAAGCTGCTTGAAATAGTATGCAAAAAATGGTGTAAATAGATAAACTGAGAGAAAAGGATAGCTGCTACATAAAGCGGGAGAGACAAAAATAAAGCCGCCTACGTTACGGCATTAATGATTGAATTGCAGTTGCAAAGGTGACTGTGACTGCAGACAAAATGAAAAGCATACATACCACCTACATATATACATACATACATATTTTACTACAGCGTAGTATGTACATGCAGTTAGTGGAGGCGTAGAAAATCGAGCTACTCCCCAAACTCGTAGTAGATAGTACGAGTATTATGAGTAGTAGTAAAGTTGTAACGACTAGGCTTAATGGTCAATAGAAAAATATGTACGTTTGTTACTAAAAATACCTTTACACGCATACCAACTTAAGTAGGAGTTAGTACATATAGCAAGTGAAAAGGATGACAATCCTTGACAATTGTATGTATATTCTGTGACCCATGAATATACAAGCGGAGGAGTGGAAAGCGAAAAAGGGTGCATATTGGCTGTCACCTGGTTGTGAATTTGATTAGTAGCAGACTTATTTGCGACTGCACTGGTAGATTGCAGAGACAGAAAGCAAATATGTGCAAATACATTAGGGTGAATTACAAAAAAAAATGCGATTTTCCAACGGAATTTTAAAAGTTATACTATTTTAAGGCTTCTGAAAAATATTAAGATTTACATGAGCTGGATCAATTTGAAAATACCTCCAAAAATTTTTTTGTTATTTTACGGCCTTATAACAATTATATTCAAATTTTTTTTTTATTGAGCTGGAGGCCGTTTTTAATGAGAAACTTATTGTGGAAAAGCAACAATAATTTGAAAAAATGGTAGAAGTGATAGCTATTTCGGAAATCACCACATTTCCTCATCAGACATAAAAAAAAATAAATAAAAAATTGTTGCATTAATAAAATTTTTAAACATTTTTATGCAAACCTTCTAAACTTACTCTTCTATCAGTAGGGCTGATTTTTGGATTATTATTTTTTATTTAATTTATCTATAAAAAAAATCGATTTTTAGAGGAATTTTGAAATCGTTCGTAAATCTTACTATTTTTCTGGAATACTTTGGAGTAAGTCGTAAAATATAATAGATTTGATAATTCCGATGGAAAAATAGTACCGACTGTTTTTTCCTGTATGGCGCGTGATGCACCCTAATGTGCATATATAAAAAAAATACGAAAAATGAGTTGCAGAGACACAATAAAACTAAGAAAATCAGTTGAAGTTATTCAATTATTGCAATGTCTGCCTAAGTGAAGAATTGTTTATTAAAAAAAAATATAGTCTAAGGCGCTGTAAGACCTCTAAAGAGGTAGAAAGTGACTACTGAACCCAAACAGATTGCCTTCGATCCGAGTTCTCTAAAGAGCTGTAAGTACCTGTTTTTGTTTGATTCGAAATTTAATGGAATTGGTAGTTGAACTTCGCCGTAAACAAAATTTAGGATTCCTTATCACTGCTGTGTTCCAAGCGGGGCATAAGAACCTTCGTTTTTGGACTAAGCGGGAAACTATTGAAGGAGAAATAAGTTAGCCTAGTCGGATCAATTAGGTGCATCTTCCATCTTCCGCCTGATTACTGCAATTTTGAGTTTGCGTGGCACCGAGGAACTGAGGAAAATGATGCGGACCTCAAAAGTAGTGGTTCAATATTGTCGAATTCTTAGCGAGACTTTTCGAACTGCCAGTAGCAGAGGGGGGTATATCCATCTACACTGACGTTTCAAAGGTGGAACAAGGAACCGGAGCCGGTGTCTACTCGAAGAACCGGCAGATCAAGCGATCCTTTCGTCTACCGAACGACTGCAGTGCCGTGGAGATCTACGCTATAGATAGGACGGCTAGTCTTTTACTTAGTGGCAGAGTTCCAGAAGACAAAGCCACTATTTTTGTCGACACTCAGGCAGCAATGAAGGCAGTAGGATCTAAAATAGTGAAATCTTGAATTGTATGGAAATGTCGTGCCACGGTGGCGTCACTGAGCGGTATAAACGCTGCTGGGTTCCCGGACATAGCAATATTGAAAGGAATGAGACGGCTGATGAGATGGCCCGATGGGGCTCAGAGATGCCAATAGAAGAAGCGGGTAGCTTCGTCCTACCACCGTTTAGTGATCACGTTAGGAAAATTTATGAACACACCGTGGCCGTGACGAATGACATGTGGAACAAACGGGAAGACTGTGAAACCATAAGATTTTATGGCCGCGGCTTAGTAGGAAAAGTACAGCGGACACACTGAAACTCAATTGATCTGCAGTGAGAGGCCCCGCGGACGTCATCACAGGACACTGTCCCTGCAGTGAAAAGCCAAACCAGTTAGAAAAAATACTAGTTCATTAACTAGTATGTGCCTACCAGTTCGACAATTTCGAAGAACTTAGGCGATCAGCGACATCTGCCTTTGAATTGCCAAAGCCAAAAATAAAACGCAATTAATTGCTTTTCTTACAAATGTCGGCTGTGTCGTCACGTGAAGACTACTGGTTCTGGTTCTGAAATCGCAGGTTCGAGGCCGCTTGGAGGTGGTTAAGATTTTTAAAGTTAAATAAATGTAAGTAAAAATAATTTATTCAATTTATAAATAAATAACAAATTTGAAAATCTAATTGCATTGCAAAAAAACATTTAGGAAGAAATGCTTGTGCTATAAAAACAAAGAAATTAAACAAAAATATTTTTTTTTTTAAATTTAAAAATTACAATAAACAGCCTAAACAAAAAAATAAATTTATAAAAAATAAAAATAAAATAAAAAATAGAAAATAAAAAAATTTTCCCTGCGCCAGGATTTGAACCTGGGACCTCAGGCTTACCACGCGAGTGCTTTGCTCTGTCGGCCATTGTGACTGCTGGAGCGTCGCGAGCAAAAAGGCACACTTATGCTTTTCACGGGGCATGAATTGGCAGACTATCTCATCAACTGGTATGATGCTACTAGTATTTATACTAGTAGATGCTGATGCATAGCCTGACAATTGACATCTCGTAGGACATCGCAATGTTAAAAATACCAGTCGCTAACATTGAAAAAGGATAGAACGTGAACTAGTTCGGCTGAAACGCAAACCGGTAGAATTCTAGTTCACAACTAGTAACTTTCCCCGCAGGGGTACTATACAACCTATGCTTCTACTCTCTGCAGAAGCTGCCATTGATGAGAATGAGGAAGAGTCAATTGACCACTACCTGTGTCGATGTCCAATTCTACAGACGAAGCGACTCAAGCACTTGGGTTCCCGCTTCTTCAACAGTCTGGACGAGGCAGCGGAGGTAGAACTATTGGATCTCCTCGGCTTCATTAAGGATAGTAATTGCTTCAGTAGAATAATGACTTAAAGCTACTCTCTCGATTATAGGTACGCGTCTCCTCCTGAGACTCTCTAAAATGGGGCATTCACAATGGACAATTCTTCCTCCGAATGAAGGTATGAAATATTACGCACACGCCCTCCTAACCTAACCTAGCCTTTAGTCTTCAAATCTTAAGATTTTGCTGAGTATTCAACGATAAGCTTAGAGATCAAATCGCCTTTAAATCATTTTTAAAAAATTCCTCACTCCTTCGAAATTGGGGTTAGGTTAAAAATATTCATTTATTTTTGAATTTACTTACATACATCATTTTCATATTAACAACTTCTTACAGCTTTGGTTATCGCTCTTACCTGCAATAAGAAAGAGAAATGCAATATTAAACATTTTAGTGAAAATTATATTTTTTAATAATAATAATAATAATTCTACCTTAAAATATTAAACTCCGAAATAAAAGCACTTACTTAAGTACTAGTGCGAGTATGTAATAAATGGATTGCATCCGGCTTTGTGAAGCTTTTTTTACTTGAATTTAGTTGGGTATCTTTGGTGTAAATGTAAAACAACAATAACAAAAAAAATAGTACATACGAAAACTTTCGGCCTTTGTTTAGTAATTTAAGCTGAACTTAAAGAAATGCGGTTGTATTAAATTTTCTCCACATATTATTTTTCACGCATATTATTTTTAAATTGCTTTCTTTCTTACAATTACCTATACATGCATGTATGTACATACATACAAATGTATTTATGTACAGTCATAAGAAGTTTCAAATTCGTTGTGCCACTTAACTTGCAAGCTCAACTGCATAATACATGTAACCCCAACTTGTAAGTTGTTTTTTTTTTGTTAGTTCGTATTCGAATGCATTTCGAAATGCGGTGCAACGAAGCGTGCGTGCGCTTGCAAGTTGTTGATGCGCGACCACTTCAGACGCCCCAAATTTATGTACGTTTTTTTTTACCCCAAACAAAAATTAGTTTTCCTTTCCTCCATTCATTTTAGTTATTTTGTGTGCTAAGTTGCTGGTTAATGCGATTGTTGTTGCTGCGGTTGTACTTTACGTAGCTGAAATTGTTCTTGGATACCTTTTTTAAATTGCACTTTGCTATTAAATTTGAGCGCCACTGCCGTCACTATGTAGTCACCAGACAAGTTCGTGGTCGGTCAACAAGTGCTTGTCTCATACATACATACGTTCTTTATTGTAGCGGCTTTAAGCTACCTAATTTAGCGGTAGAAAGTGTGAAGCACACGTTTGACTACCGGAATTTATGGTGCATATAATAATATTAGATGTTTAGTATGGTCCAATGTTTATTTATGTCTTGGAGATTTGTTTGAGTCAACTTTTCTTAGCCGAATAGCTCTCATCAGCCTGATGTTATATCATCTGGGACTAGCCTCTCAGGAAAGGAGAGCCGGACAATCGCCATGGAAAACAATCGGCGGTTGATTGGACTCTAAGACTAATTTCTATTGAGGATTCAATGGGGATCTCTGCTCGAACAAACAGGAATGGCATGCCATATGAAGAGTTCTAAAACGATACTGCTCTCATTTACCAGGACTAAAAGCTTTTTTCCAGGCTTCTTTTAATAAAAAAAACTGCAAGGCGTGTGTGAAATACATATATAAGTAATACCTTTTTAAAAATCTGAGAGTTCAGTGTGTAGTAGATACATTTCCTCCACCGAAAACGACAGAAAATTTTGAGCATAGATATGCCCCTGCTCCGTTTCTTTTCGCTTAGAACCTTTCAATACAAAACTAATAGATTTGGCGTGGCGACAACATCAAATAGAACGAGGGAAAATTAAAAGAAGCAGGCAAAAAATTTTTAAGCAACAAAGTTAGGTTAGGTTGGAAATAGCAAACTAGCAGGAAATGAGATGAGGTTTAGTGGTTACGAAAACCTCGAAGTAAAAACCAAAAAATACCTAGAAACGCCCTCAAATCCCGAAAAAATACTAAAATAAGTATTCCGACAATACCCGAAAGAATCACCGAAGATGAAAAAAATCTTGTCGGTCAAAATCTAATGGCGTTTTATTTTCTACAAAAAAATTTTGCCTTTTTGTTGGCCTCTGTTTAGCATTTGTACGAAGAGGGCACTGAGAAGGCAACATTTTTCGGTAGAAAAATCTGCACTTTGTTACACTAAAGTTGAATGGGCCACAAAACTGCATAACTGAAAACTTTTTAAAAATTCGGATCAAAAAAAAATTAAATTTTGATGAAAATTTTTTTAAGTTCGATTAATTTTTGTGAAATTTGTGCAAGCTTTGAAACTTATACTTATGTGGGTTCCTTTCTAGATTGAATTATGTTTTAAATGATAACTATTAAAAATAAATAAGTTGCAAACAATGACATTTTGAATTTTGGTGCTGAATACGGATTAAGAAATAAAGTAAATCGAAATCTTCAGGGGTCTATGAACGTAGCATAAATTTATGAGAATTTTTTTCGTAAAACGTTTTAACCTTTTAACTCCTGCTATATTGGGTATTTTTTTACCCTCATTCGAAGAAGTTAATTAAACAGTAAAGCTGGAGGGTTAAACTATTTGCTGAAAGTCATCGAGGTGCGTTATAAGGCTTTATCCAAAATGTTGGCATAATTTCATTAAAAATATGTCATATATAATTTAGATTTCTTTAAACTATCCTTAGTGAAATACTCTGATTACCACTTTTGTAGAACATTCAACCCTCTAGTTGGCAATTTGAATTTATTGAGAGGAGCTAAAGGGTTAGATCTTTTTTACAAAATAATTCCTCGCTTTATGTTATTTTACAACTCTGTGGAAAATAACTCCATTTCTACATGGGTGCTACCCAAAATTTAGACAAAGAGCTTAGGTTGAATCAAATCATTTGTTTGTTTAGGGAAACCACATGTTAAAATTTACAGATTAATTTTTCGTCGATTATGTGCACCCTTTTATTTAGAGGAGGTTAACAGTTTGCGATCTACTTTTTATTTTTTCTAAATTGCAATGTCCTAAGTGGGCTATTTCACACCATCCACCTTGACTGCATATCAAAAAAAAATTTAAGAAAAGTGTAAAATTGTATAACTCTTAATTTATATACATATATATACCCAACATAATTAACAACAACAAACTTAGCTTAGAAGGCTCACACCTATAAATTTTAGTCGAGATTTTAACAAGTTAACTAAGACATTCTTTTAAGCCCATCTAAATATAATCAAAATTGATCGCATTGATGGCTGTATACTAAATTTTAAAAGTCTTTACAATTCAAACCTAAATATGTAGAAGTACATCCACCGATATAGAGTACATACTTTAAATGCACTTATCAAATATTATTCACAAAAACAATTTTTATACCCGAGCGCACTTGTGCACAAGGGTATATTAATTTTGTTCACATAACGGTTGTTTGTAACAGCCAAAACGAATCGAGATAGATATAGACAAATGTATACATAAATGATCAGTGAATCGGCCGTTATTTTAGTCCGATTTCAATAATTTTCAACGTTTTGCTTATAGTGGCAAGCACAATAACCAACCGAGTTTGGTACAAATTAGTAGAACGGTTACCGATATACTTATATGTGATCATAAGTGGGCGGTGCCACGCCCATTTTCCAAAATTTTACCATAAACGTATTTCTTGGTAAAGAATTGTTGCAATCATCAATTTTGAATAAATTAGCTTCAATATTTAATGATTTATCGAAGATTTTGTATTTCTCTAAATTACCGTTATAT